TTGGAGCAAAGCTTGTTTATTATAATTTCAAACATTTAATTTCAATCATTTTGTTGTCATTCTTTCCATTTCCATTGTTGAAGTCATTTCACATGTTGTTTCCCTGGTTCTGCTTTACTTTACACCAGTTCATACAAGTCTTCCCATGTTTCTCTGTGTTCATTATATTCATCCTTTCTTACATCAAAGTAATTTTCTATTACAGTACATTCATGTACCTCAGTTTGGTTAGCCTTTCCTCACTGATGAGCAATGACTTTGTTTCTAGTTTTTTGCTTCATTTTGTTACTTCAAAAGGTGCTGCTATAAAAAATTTTGGGGCCTTTCTTTTTGTCATTGACCTCCTTGGATATATGTCTCACAATGAAACCTCAAATGGTATGGACATTTCAGTTACTTTTTAAGCACAATTCCAAATTGTTTTCTAGAATGGTTGAACTAATTCATCATTCTGCCAATAGTGCATTAGTATGCACATCTTTTCCTAGGGGTGGGGTAGGGGAGAGGGACTCTGAAGTACACCAGCAGTAGCTGCACTGCCTCATTTTTGGCTAAATTTCTCCAATTTGCTCCCTCTTCAACCTCCAGTGTTTCTGAGACTGCTTATGGACCCCCTGGCACAAATGACTGTCATCTGCTCAATTACCATCCTCCAGTGTTACTGTTTGTCTTCTCTGCTATATTAATAAACACGAGTGTGACTGTATGTGTTTAAATTATGACCCACATTTGGACAACTGCCCATTTGCAGATGGTCTGAAATGTACAGAAGGTCTCTGCTTAGTTTGGAGAACGTTAACTTTTTGATCATTAGAAATCATTTGGAGTATCAAGACTCAAGAGATTTTGCAAGAGGACTTGCAATAATGTAGATGTCAAATAACTTTTGACTTGAGATAAGAAGAATTTTTAAAAATCATTTAAAGTTGTAGGTGTGGTATTCAGGGTTTGGGAACTTGGATTTAATGACTTTGAGTGGCTAAATTGCTAACAGAATTACAGTCTTCTGGGGCTTGTTTATTCTGCTTATCTTGTCAGAGATATTAGTGGTAATGGTTAAGCTTTACATTTTATAGACAGGGGGTCCACTGGGATGAAAACTGGGCTTACTGATGAAAAGTGAGGAATGGAGTATAATTTGATTTATTGTATCCAATGAACTTTTATAAGACTGGTTTTATTCGAGATATTTGGAAGTGCCTAATATTTTATGAGAAGCAATGTAGTATGATAAAGAAAGCATTGGTTTAAGGGTCAGAAATGCTGGGTTTCAGTTTACCATGTGCTGGCTGTTTGACCTTGGACGAATCATGTTTTCTTTTTGTTTCCTAACCCATAGAGTGTAGACAACAATATCTGTTCTTTTTGCCTCGTATAGTTTTTATGAGGATCAAATGAAATTGTTTTAAAGTATTCTGGAAATATTATTATTAAAATGAATTAGAATTAGAGAACTTTTTTAAGTGAAAGATTTTGTTATATATGTAAAGAGAGGTTGTATTCCTAATGTCTTTTGCTCTGGTTAAACCAAATACGGAGTATTGTGTTCAGTTCAGGGTACATTTTATGAATGACATTAATAAGCTAGAATATGCCCAGATTACATTGATCAGGATGGTGAGGGAACTGAAGACCTTGCCAGGTGGGGCAGGAGAGGGTTAGCCCGAAAAAGAGAAGACTTTGGGGATGGATGGGTGGGACACGACATGACAACAGAAATGTACTCTCTTGAGGAAAGAGGGTTTGACTTGTTCTTCTCTCTAGAGGAAAAAATAAGAAGCAATGGGTAAGAATAGAAGAGAAGCAAATGTTGATTTAATATAAGGAAAAATTTCCTGTCAATTGGAAAGCTATCTGAAAGTGGAATGGGCCATGCTACTTACTATCTGTGTGACCTTAGGCAAAACCCTTTCCTTCTCTGGAGCTCTGTACATTGGATTAGATGGCACAGCCAAGCTGATTATGAATGGCATGGACTAGATGATCTCTAGAGACTCTTCTTGCTCTGTGAAATCTGTGATCTGGTAACTTGGGAGGTCATTGGTTCCTCCTCATTGGAAGTTTTAAAACAGCACATGGATGCTCTTTTATTTATGATATCACGGAACAAATTTTTGAGCGGACTAGATAACCACTGAGGTCCTGCCATCCCTAGAGTGTGTGTGTGTGTGTGTGTGTGTGTGTGTATGTGTGTATGTGGTTGTTTTTTGTTTGTTTGTTTTGTTGTTGTTTATTAGGAGAGGTACTAGAATAGGAATAGAAAATCGGGTTTCTAATCTTGGGCAAATTGCTTAATTTCCTTGTGCCTCAGTTTCCTTCTCTATAAAAGGGTGCTGCCTAGATGATCACTAGCATCTAATCCATCCATATAATGGTGCTTAAACTATCTGGCACGTGGTTCTGCTTTATTGATTTGGTCTTCATGATGTCCTGTGACTTTAAAAGATCATCTAGTGGCCAACCTTCTGGTGATGAACCACTCTGAACTTAGCTGGGCTGGTTCTTAGACAACAAACATTTAGTCTGTCACTAGGCCAATGCTAGAAACCTTGCCAGCTTGGTAGGATATGCCAGAGCTTGTTTTCTGCTGGTCTAGTCTTTGAAAATCCAGGGTCACCTTTATTCTATGATGAAGTGTCTTCATTAATCAAGGCTGAATATAATGTTTTGTGAAAGAACCTAAATCGGAACTGGGACATTTCCCCCAAACTTACTGAAGAACAAAACAAAACAAAACAAAACAAAACAAAGGGGATAATAATCAGGAGCAATCATGAACTATGGTTTGTCTCTCAAATTTTGCACTGCCTCTAGTTTATTAGGTTATTTCTACTGTAGGTGCAGCCTCAATAAATCAGTTATAGGAGAAACAAGAACATTTTCTCTGTAAGATCTGGAGCATGCCAGTCCAATGCATTAAAAAATTTCATTGTTAGAGATGTTTAATGTTGCAGGAAAATAAAAGAGTAATGCAAATGAACCTTTTCTGTGTCTAGATGGTAAGAAACCTGGATTCTATTTCTGTCTCTGCCTCTAGCTCTTTTTGTGACCTTGAGCAAGTTATTTAACCTCTTTGGTAATGTCTATATGAAATCATGATAATATATCTCTAGAAGTTGGTGTGGAAAATAAATGAGTATGTTGAAAGAGCTGTAAAATTAGAAGTAATATCCTGAAGTTGCAAAATTATTTTTATTTTCATATTGAATAGTCTTATTTTCACACAGTAGCTTCATGGAAGTGAGAATTCTCTTGATATTTGCCAGTAACAAATGACTAAAATGAAATTATAATAGCTTCTGACAGACAAAAAAAAAAGTCTCATTTGGCCTATTTGCCTTTTCTTAAACAAAATACTCTTTATTAAGAAATTCTAGCACGTATCTAAGCCTGAAAGATGAGCTTTATACAATGTTTCCATATATTATTGAATGTGTTCCATGCTCTTTAAAAAGTCTCAATATCACTGAGTAACATATTACATTAGCTCTTGTCTCTTCCAGACTTTTAAGTGGTTAGGAGAAGATTTAGCAGAGCATTTGGATGGCTTTGCACATCTTCTCCCTAAAGGCACTTCAAGTACATTTGGTTCATAGATTTGTACTTGGATTGTTTATATTGCAGTTAAAAAAAAGCATTTTAATTGTTGACATTGACTATCTTATGTATTAAAGTTGGGTAAAAGGGTCAAGGTAGGGTCACTGGAAACTTTTAAGTTAAATAGTAACCTCAGGAAAAGACTTGGGCAGGATAGAATCTTCCAATGCCTCCCCCAACAGGCATCATAGAAGACTGGTTTTTGCTTTCCTAGCATAACTGTCTCCTAGGGCCTTGCACTGAAGCGGCAGGATTGCCGCTGAAAGACTTAGTCAGAGACATAACTACTCTGGAGGCCAGTGGTTGTGGGTATTGAGGAAAGAACCCCAGTGTGAGGAAGAGAGGTCTGTGCAACATAGTTAAGCATCTCTTCTCTGATCCACTGGAGAGAACTTGTTTTAAAAACATTCTCTCCTGCAGAATACAATATATGTGTATGTGTACACACACACACACACACACACACACACACACACACACTTAAAGAGACACAGGGCATTTCATCACGAAACACCCCGGTTCCTGGAAGGAATTTAAAAGTGGCAAAATAAAGATATGCTGATGGTGGATTTCAGCTGGGCAACCAGGGAGAGAAAAAAGTCCGTAGGGGGAAGTGGGGATCAGGAAGCCGAGCTTCAAAAATCCCTCGGAGAGGATAGAGAAAGGTGGGTCGGGCTGGGGTCACGGCTAAAAGAGGGGTGTTGGAGTCAGGCTCCAGGATCTGTAGGAAGTTCCAGCTTGGACTGGTAACCCTTAGAGCTAGATCCCCGGTCGGTACCTCTGTCTCCGAGGTGCAGTTGTGGTTTCCCCTACCTCCCAACTCTGCTGAGAGAGAGTTAAAGGGGAAAAAAGGAGCCTACGATTTCCCAACCACCCCATCCACTCCCATCCACCCTCCTCCTGCCCTGAAGGGGTGCTGGAGGGAAGCGGGAATTCAGCCTAACAGGGGCCGAGGCAATGCACTCTTCCTCCATGGCGGGGAGTCAGTGGCTCTGGTCTCTCCCCTTCTGCATGTGAGCGAGTGTTTTGTGCCTCTCGTCCCTCCTCCTCCTGCTTCTCCTCCTCCCCCCATTCTCCATTCCCTCCCTCCTCGCAGAGCAGCAGTGGGTGCGAGCAGCAGTAAGGAGCAGCCGCCGCCTAGAAGGAGCGCGCAGGAGACACCGAACAGGTGGCTAGAGGCAGGGAGAGCGAGCCTCCCGGGGCTGGGGAGCCAGCGAGTGGGACAGAGGCAGCCGCCGCCGCCGGCGCCGCGGCGCGGGGCATGCCAGCCTAGGGGCCGCCCGCGCCGGCCGCGTCTCCGCTGCTCCAGCGCGCTCGCCGGCTCTCCCCGCTGAGCTCAGGAAGCGCCTGTTGTGCAGCCTCCCCCACCCCCACCCAATCTCACCCGACCCCTCCTCTCCCCCGGCCTCAGCCCCGCAGCTCTCGCTCGCTCGCTCTCTCTCTCTCTCACACACACACACACACACAAACACACACACACACACAAGCTTACACTCGGGGCACACACACACACACACACACCGTACAACTGTGTGCCATAACATTGCACTGGGCGGCGACGTTACACCGCCGCCTCCTCCTTTTCCTCCTCCTCCTCCTGCCGGAGTGTCGCTTTGGGGAGGGGGTCTGGGGAGGAGGGAGGGGGGCCCAGAGACCGGAGCAGAGGGACCGCGGCGGCGGCTGCGACGGCGGCAGCATGAAAGTGACCGTGTGTTTCGGGCGGACCCGGGTGGTCGTGCCGTGTGGAGATGGGAATATGAAAGTTTCCAGCCTCATCGAGCAAGCGGTGACTCGTTACAAGAAGGCCATCGGCAAGGTGAGGCTGGGGCGGGCGGCGGGGAAGGAGGGAGGTTCGCCGAGGGCTGGGTGTGTGAGTGGAGCTGGAGGAGAGGAGAGGAGAGGAGAGGAGGGAGAGAAAGGAAGGGGGGAGGGAGGAGGAGGAAGAGGAGGAGGAGGAAGACGCAGGAGAGGGCGCCCGGGATCAATATGGCGCTTCCTGGAAAGGGGAAGGAGGGGGAAACCGAGGAGAGGCAGGGAAAGTGCAGGGTCCGGGGAAAGAGGATGGGGCAGCCGGCGAAACCCGGGGGCGAGAGGAGGAGTGGAGAGGCTGGAGTCGCTCCTACCTACGTGCTCCTTCCTTCTGCCTCCACCACCTCCTCCTCCTCGGCTCCCCAGAGTTGCCTGACCCACTGGAAAGTTTCAAGTGCTGCTGGGCTGTCCCGGCCTGGGGGCAGGGAGTGTGTGTGCATTTGTGTGTGTGTGTGAGTGTGTATATTCGTGTGCCTGCCTCGGAGAGCCTTAACCGAATATGGCTGCGGCGGCTTCTGCTGCTGTTGCACTCTTACCATCCAGCTGGGCGTTTTTTGTTTTTTTTTTTTGCTTGTGTATTTGGGGGGTTGGTCGTTGGGGGGAAAGCTGGGAGCTTGGGGAGTTTAAGCCTGAACTCTTTGTCATTTCCTTGCGGTGTGTATGTGTGTGTGTGTGTGTGTGTGTATGTATGTGTGTGTGTATGTGGGGGGGGCTCCCCTCCTTCCCCAGCTGTTCAGTTTCTTTGTAGGAAGAAAGTTAGGATTACTCCTTTCTACCTACCCCACCCCCACCCCTCTTTAAAGGGCGGAGGTGGAGGGCCGAGTGTGAGTCTCTGATTTTTCCTTCTGGGTACTGATTACACACAGCCACAATAGTATATGCCGCAACCTGCGGTGTGCAACATGGCTGTGTGAGTATGTGTGTGTGTGTGTATGCATGTATGTATGAATGTGTGTGTATGCTTGCGCGCGCGCCCCTGGGTTACTGGGATTGTTGTGGAAAGATGTGTTTCACCTCGTGCTCAGATTCTTTCAACTAATTTCTAGAGCGCCACAAAGCCAAGTTGGGATTAAAAAAAAAAAAGGAAGGAAGAGTCCCAAATTAAATACTGCCATGAAAGCTTTCACTTTGATTAGTCTTTCCTGGGAAATAGTTATTGCAAACAGTTGAAATCCAGCCCCAGGCCTCCCACTTCTTCCAGGCCCTGGAGGCAGAGAGAGTGAAATGTGGACTTCATGTGTGTGTAGAGTTAATTCTTGTGTATATTAAAGAATGTCATAGATTTCTTAATGGACTATGTTTCTCTTTTTGAAAAATGAATTTTTTCATATGTGTATGAATTGGGTTGAATTGGAAAACCTTTTTTTTACCCCCTCCTCCTTCTGGAGATGGGGGAGGGGGCGGGTTTTGAGTGTTTTGGGCCCTCTTGATTGGGTGAGGTTAATCACAAGCAGATTTGCCCCTTGAGTCAGTATCCTCTCTGTCAGAAATGCTTGCTACAAATATAGAGACACGGGCTTCTAGAATAGTTCAAACGATGTTTTGTTGGGCAGAGAGCCTCAAGATTGATTATGACTATCTCTATTGGAGTGTTACTTTAAAAACTTAAATAATTTACTTGCTGAAAAAAAGGTCTTCCATGAAGCCATTTCAACTATTTACTTTCCTGGAACCATTTCCATATGGTATCTGACTGTCTTGCTTAGGAGTTAGATTTCCTTTTTCTTTGGTGTGATGAAACATTATTCCAAATAAACTACATTTCTTAAGAATGTATCAGGAAAGTCATTTTGTTATATTGTTTAGATTGTCTGTGTCTATTTAAGATGGAATTAACACTGGGTTTTACCTTGAACATTTGAGGATATGTCTTCTAAAACAGATCACGTCTTTCAATGGAGAAATTTTTATTAGAAATTATGTTTCTGGCAATATTTCTTTCTTTAGGATTTGTGAAATTATACCTACTTGTAGCTTCCATTTGATTTTGGAGGTGGTAGAAAAAGAATAGGAAGAATTCAATCAAAACTTAGATGCTGTAGAATTCTAGTTTGGTCAGTCAGTCAATAACGTTTTAAAACTCCCCCTAAACTAGTACTAGCCATTGTGCTAACAGCTGGGGTACAATGAATTTCAAAAGACAAACCCTGTACTCTAGGAGTTCACAGTCTAATGGAGACAGCATACAAACAGCTAGTTACAAACTATACATAGGACCAAAGGGGAAGATGAGGTCATTTACCCTTATTTTAAAAATGACTTTTATTGATGTCAAGTTTATAATGAAGAAAAAAATCCCTCAAATCACAATATAACCATATAAGAACTATTGTTTCTTCCTTACTTTTTCTAAAATTTATTAAAAGACCATTTTACTCAATAGGGATAGGAACTAGACCTGTGATTTCATTAGTATTGGAAATTCCTGGATGAAGACTCTTTCTCTATTAATGCAGGTGGACCTTCTCAGCAACTTAGTCTTGGAAAGTTGCAAAACACCATTATGCCCGACTTCTCTTCACATATATATATATTTTAAAGACATGTAAGATTATCATGACATGCATCTCACTGTTTTCATAGTTGTAAAAATTTAAGGGGGAAATAACACACTGATAATTGATAAATGTTATGCTGATATTTGATTAAAATGACATTTTATTAAAATGTCTGGGATCTTGAGCCTTGAATCTATTCTATAAAATTTTTTTAAAGGAGGGCGGATGTGTGCAAATGGATAGATAAATGCAATTTGAGGTTAACAGATTTCCTTCCTTTTTCAAAGACCAGCATTAGTTAAGCTGTTTAGATAATATTTAACACAATTTATGTTGCTTTTGAAATGAATCACTGACATTTAGATTTGGGTAATAGAAACATGGCATTAGCCATGCTGTTGCCCCAAAGCTCTGAAGAACACCCATTAATGTCAGTCTTCTATTAGAAATCAAATAGTGTTGGGGGATTGTACAAATGTTTGCTTTACAAAGCAAAGCTACTGATGAAAAGAACTCTTTGCCCTGAACCTCATACTGCATTTTTTGGGGGATGGGTATGAACGAGCATTAATAAAGTTTTAACACTCAGAACTAATAGCCTTGAAGGGCAAGTAACAGACTATGAAACAAAATTTTTAAAAGTTGAAGGAGTGAGATATGTTAGTTAAAAAAAAAAGATTCATTAAAGTGCTCAGGTTTCTGAATGGTCAGTGTACTCTTCTTATTACACATCTTTGTGATTAGTAAGAAACTATGTTCTTTTTTTTGTTATAATCATCATTACTCTTTGTAACTCTCTTAATAGAATATCCAAGTGAACTGTAGTTTGTTTTGCAACATGTGAAGTGTAGCCATTGCAATACAAAATTCTGATTAGACACTATTTCAGGAGCCCGAGTCATTTCCATAAGTCTTCTAAGTTTTCTTTAACATTTTATTTAATAGTTAAGAAGTAAGTTTTAGTGCTTATTTGCTTATCTCCCATTCTTCTCCTTATTTTCTTAATTTTTCTGAAAAATATGTCAGATAAGTATTCTCTTTATTTTTTCTTCTGTCCTTATGTACTGCCCTTCATCTTATTGTCGAGTAGCACAACTAAGTCAGGTCTGTCCCTACACAGTAACTGAATATCTGGATTTGCAGAAAGTGACTTTCATATTCCCTGGATGACATACTATGTTTTCCCATCTGGTTTGGAATATTTTCATAACTTAACAAAATTCCAAACCTTTAAGATTTCTTAAACTTAAAAAATCTTGTAAAGAGTTAGCACAAAAATTTTAAAGAATTTTGTAAGGAAAAAAAAAGTACATGGTTCTCAGTAGAATAACATAATGATTGCCCTAATTACTTCTATTGCAGCAAATCCTTAATGAAACTATTATTTCAGTTTTAAGTACTGACTATAGATCAGCTATAATTTATCAGTCAATAAGTATTTATTAAATACCCACTCTGTATTAGGCACTGTCCTAAGAGTTGGGAATACAAAGACAAAAGTGACACAATCTCTTCCCTGAAGGAGGAGAATTCAAATCCTTGCTCTGCTACTCACTGACCTTGAGCAAGTCAATTTCTCTGAGCCTCAGTTTCCTCATCTGCAAACATTACATTAGACATTAGATTGCCTCTGAACTTTCTTCTACCTCTACGACCCTAGAAATCATTGATGCCTGAATACTGAGCTTATCATATTTTATTAATTCAATGGAATTCAGTCAGTCTCTATAGTTCTTCCCCTGATGAAGATAGAAATCCGAATCTCTAAGAGGTACCATGGTGATCAGATTCTCTAAACCAAGGTGTGTTTCTGTGTATATACTCCATTGAAACTCTTGTGAAGCCTATAGACCCCTTTTTAGAATTCATCTTTTTAAACACATTGGATTATAAAGGAAACCAATTCTATTTAAATTTGGTTATCAGAATACAATTAAAAAAAAATCAAACAAGTTCCTGGAGCACAGGTTAAGAACCCCCACTCTAAACATAGCTAAGCTGGTCCTCTAAAGACAGTTCTAATGAGGTATGCAATGGAAAGAGCCCTGGCTCTGAAGTCTGAAGACCTGAGTTCAACACCTTTCTCTAGTGCTTACTACAGTGTGTAATCTCAGGCAGGTCATTTATCCTCTCTGAATGTCAGCTAGGAGGTTGGACTAGATGTCCTCTAAGGCCCCTTAGATGTCAGCTCTAAGTCTATGATCATATTATGATATTTAACCTGGCCTGCACTGAAAGACTTTCTAGCTTGATAGGACCTGCTGGAGTTTGCATTCTGCTCCCACATATCTGGAGAACCTAAGATCACTTCTATAGCATGATAAGGTATTAGAGTAGTACTGAAGTAGAGGATATTCAGTTGTATCCAGCAATGTCTTGCCCTAACAGAAATGCAGTGGAAACATGAAAAATATTTTGGTTACTTGTTTTCTCCTGTTTGTTTTCATTAACAAACATTTGTTGCATCCCTGCTATATAAAGGATGCTGGACATATATGAAAGGGAGACA